TAATAATAGTTCAGACACACAGAAAACGTGTTTTAAAGCTTTACACAGACGAGAGCCAGAGTAAGTGTCCTGTGTTCCAAAACAAAGCTCGTAAATCAACCCTTATCAGTGGAAGAATGAGCAAGGCCGTCTGGAGTAACCATGGATAAGATCTGCCCCTGACTGGCTGAACAGGGTGTCACTCAGACCATCAAGAGGTTTTGACACCCAATCACAAGTCTGTCTGAACCCGAAAGGGCGGGACATGAGAAACCTATAAATCTTGCTCAGACACCAAGTTTGGTTGAACAAACATCGGCAGATAGACCAAGGCAAGGTTTGCTCTGATTTTTGTTCCTCAGACTGCACTCTGATTATATGTAATATCTGCATACTTTAACTTTGTCTCAATTAAATCTTTTATACTAAGGTGAAGTGCTCCTGAAATTCTGTGCTCGGGTCATTTGAACACCCCAAATCCTTCACAGTACATTTCAAACCCAGCAGGACTCTCAGACAGAGGCTGGTCCACCCTAAGGACAAAACACCCATACACAGAGTGGTGTAGTGTATGTGGTCCAGTGCAGCGAGGACTGTCCAGACCTCTACATTGGAGAAACTAAACAGCCTCTTCACAGACGCATGGCTCAACACAGGAGAGCCAGCTCCACAGGACAAGATTCAGCTGTTCACCTCCACCTCACAGAGAAGGGACACTCTTTTGAGGACCAAAATGTGCACATTTTGGACAGAGAACACAGATGGTTTGAGAGGGGGGTGAAGGAGGCAATTTATGTAAAAAGAGAAAAGCTGTCTCTTAACAGAGGAGGAGGCCTCAGATTTCCACTTTCAAAAACCTATAATGCAACTTTAAAACAGATTCCCAGCCAGTTTTTCACACCTGATGGGAACAGAGGGGCCTCGTCTGTGAATTAGAGGAACAAAGACCTACTGTTAAGTTTGTTTAGGTGTGAATTGCCAATCTACATGTGTGTGTGTCTTATCTCACTCAGCCTTATAACCTGAATCTCTCACTCTGCTCTTTGAATTGAGAAAGCTCCTCGGATGAGGAGCGAAACGTCTTCTGTTACAAATAAAGTCCAGTTGTTTTTGTATTGAACGCTTTTTGAATTTATTTGTCTGAACTGCTTCACTTTTACATACCATCACGTACTCTTAGATCCTCTGACCAAATGCTTTTAGCAGTCCTGAAAACCTTTTATAAATCCAGAGGAGACTGAGCCTTTTCAGCTCTGGCTCCTAAATTGTGGAAAGAGCTGCCGTTGGAGGTCAGGCAGGCCCCGTCACTTTGTTTTTAAAACTCGTTTAAAAACACTTTTTTTTCCATTTGCTTTTAACCTAGAGTGAGTCAGCATCTGTGTCTTAATGTTGTATTCTTTTACTTATGTTTTGATAATTTTTTTTAAATATTTAAGTGTTTGTTTTACGGGTTGTTTTTTAATTTTGTACAGCACTTTGAAACGGCTGCTTGTTGTATTTCAAGTGCTTTAGAAATAAATTGGTACGGTATGTTAAAAGGGGGGGGTCCATCACTTTTGGATCATGGACGGCCCAAAAGGCTGATGGAAGTTTTAAAATGTCGTCCAGCTGTCAGTCACTACAACAAACTCATTTTGATAAAGATGATCAACTCGTATGTAGATGATACCACGCTGTATTAATTTAAAAATGTCAAATTTCCCTCTTGATTATTTGATCAACTGCAATATTTAGCCAAGTTTTATGAATCAATATTCAAGTCTCATTTCTGGTAGAAATCAGTAAAGGTTTTTGCTGCTTTGTACCATGAAATGAAAATAAAAATTTTATAGCCAAAAGGTTTATATTTTGCTTAATAGTTTTCATTTTGAGAAGATTGTGTTTCATCCGTTTTGCTATTAAACCTAAACATTATACAAAAAGGAATACCAACTAATTGCAGAAAAACTGCACGGACCTTTTAAGATTGCAGGCAAAAATTGTACCATTCTTAAAACTGCAGTTGTGGGCTGCACAAAAATCACTCCAAGGGCCACAAATGGCCCTAGGGCTGCACTTTGGACACCCATGCTGTAACGCAAAAGTTGGGGAGGGGGGGCTGGACTAAATGCTGCCATAAAGGTAGGAGTCACAGCAAGTTTAATTTCAGCGGACATATTTTATTGCAAATTTCAAAATAAAGACAACATTATGCTTATTTTTTTAATCCATTTTATTTAACAAATTTGATCCTCAGAAGTTCCTGGGGAAACAGAAAGAAGAAATAGTCAGTTTCTAAACACATCACTCATCTAAATTTACTGACAAAACATCCAGCAGCTAACAAACTGAAGATGGTGAGAATGGGTGGGAGAAAGCCATGTTATGTTGTAAACCAGTCGGGATATTTCCAGTTAGAATATTTAACACAGAATAGTTTCTCCTATTCGAGATAAGGCACGTCTGTTATTGAATGCAATCAATAGTATTTTAGAATGTACTTACAACCCACCCACCCAACATTACCACCAGCTGATTGCAGATATTTGTATACCGTAATTGCCGTTGTATAAGCCACTATTTTTGTCTCACACTTTGTACCCCGCGGTTTAAATAAAAGGGCGTCTTATTTGTGTATTTTTTTTCCATAATTTTCAAAATTTATATTTTATTTTGAAAGACTTTCTGCTGTCTCTCGGTAGCTTCCTGCCACTGACTAACGTTTTCCTTTGACAAAGCAGAGCGCTCGTGGCTTCCGGCACCCCGTATCTCATGGGGGCAGGCGTTTGTGACACAAAGAGAATGCCCTCAGGTAATCAGATGTACCAAACCTTTTGCTCATCGTTTCAAATTGCTTACCATAACTCCACCCACTCTGTCATCATGTGACCAGAACCTGAATGACCAACAAGGTACTCTCAAGGACCAAGAATATTCTGAAGTCCAAGAATTATGGTAATCATTTCAATTAATAGAAATTTGGCCAACAAGAATTCTAACATTTAGTAAAAAATATAAAGAAATAAAATTTAAACAAGTTAAATTGAATTTGTGATTTTCAGCAAACAGATAAAACTAAATTGGGAAATGAAAACATGCATTTCCTGTTGAGTGCAACCGAGAAGCTGCACACTGCATAAAAATTAACGATTAAAGAGAAGGAAAAACCGGTATGTTGTGAAACTTTATATGCAGTTGCTGTCAAATGCTTTTGTTCTTTTAGATTTTGTCTAGATTCTTAATCTTTTTTTTTTTCCCAAGGTGAAAAAAAAACATCCACTTTGGTCTTAGTTCAGTTTGAACTAAAAGTTAGTTCCTCTGTTCCATCAGAAATTAAACCGTCTTTCCAAACAGGTCTTTTGCAGAGCTATCCAACATGACCAGTTCTTGCACAGAACCCTCTTCAACATGTGTGAACATCTTTAAGATGTTAACACTAGAGTTGTAATAGTAGCTCATGAGGAAAATATGACTTTCAGAAAAAGCATACATAGAGATTCAAATTAATGCTAAAACCATTTCCATACTTTGCAACAACACCGTCGTTCTTGGCCAACCTCAGGATGGAGTCATCAGCTTCTCCCTGCAGAGAAAACAGACTCAGAATCAGAACTTACAGCTGCACTTATCAAAATGCTTTGGTTAGGTTCAAGTCTTTAGAAGCCTATCAGAGGCAGTGACATCAAATCAATTCATGTCACATTTACCCTAATCTAGGAATGTGCGATATGGCATAAAATTCATATCACGATATGTGGGGGCCGAGATGGTGTAGAGGCAGGGCAGCCGGCTTGGGACCCGAAAGTCCCGCAGGTTCGATCCCCAGTCACTGCACATCACGTGGTGTCTCTGGGCAGCACACCTCATCCCCAAAATGCCCCCCGGGCGCTTTCAATAGCTGCCCACTGCACCACCTGGTGGTGGATGGGTTAAATGCAGAGACTGATTTCGCCGTTGTATGGAAACATACAGTGCTGACATTGTGATGACAATATTATTATTATTACTGTGAAGGGTGGTGATAACAAATATCGTAATATGTTTTGGGTATAAAACTTAATAGGAATTTTTTAAAAAGCGTACGGTGTCCTTTTGCCATCATATATTTTGAATTAAAAAAAATTCCATTACTAGGTCCAGAGAGTTTTTAAATAAATCAAGTATTAGGCTTCTTTCTTGTAGTGCAAAACAGTGCAAAATATATCAAATGTAGTTTTAGCCATATGTTTTAAACAAAATAATATGTTGTTAACTTTTAAGTTTCCAGTCTCACTTCAGAAATGAACAGCAACAGAGCAGCATTTTACACTGAAACACTTCACCCTCCAAACCTCTAGTGGGCGACTCCTTCTGCTTTAATGGAGAGTTGACAAAAAATGAGTCTGTGGCTTTGACCAGAGGGTCTCGCAGGAAAATCACACAACGCAGTGTCCTTTTCACAGATCAGAGAGCAGGTTTCTCGAAAGCTGACCAACGCTTACTTTAACTTTCGACGGAAAAAAAATAAATGAATAAAACTTTCGACGGAACACAGCGTGTTGCGCATGCGTCAAAATATGGCAACACTACAGCAAGCCGGGCGTAGTTAGCTTGTAGCTTCGCTACTTAGCTCTCGAAGAAAATACTTTAATGCCACTTATGCACCAGTTTTCAACTAAAAACATGTAACGATTAAATCTGACAACTCTGATTTTACACTTGAACACCACTTACGCATAGTTTTCAACAAAAAAAAGTAACGATTAAACTGACAACTCTGATTTTACACTTGAACACCACTTACGCACAGTTTTCAACAAAAAAAAGTAACGATTAAACTGACAACTCTGATTTTACATCAGACACAGCATTACTGCGTTTAGCCGGTAGAAGACAGATCTCTATCGTAGGCTAAATTTCTATCGTTTTTACCGTATACCGTTTATATTGTGCATTCCTACCCCAATCTATAGGTCCTTTAACAACATGGCTATGTACAGTCATTCAGTAATACCAGCAGAATTTTCAGAGGGTGGAAACTAATTTGTAGAAATAACAATGTCTCAAATTTAATTTAGTTTTTATTTACTCATTTTTGAGTTTGTCAACATAATCCTGACATATACCGTATTTTCCGCCATAAACATTGCTCTGCCCTTTATGTCGCATCTGTCCAAATATGTCTAATAACGTGGGAAAATCCATGTTGCTTCGCCGTATGTGTCATATTATGCACCACTGCTGTCAATCCCGAAATGTGGGCTGGTGTTGTGCCAAAAATGGATTGGCTGCCAAATGGCGGCCACAGGAGCGTGCACAGGACTTTTATCAAGAATTTAACAAGATTAACGTTTAAAAACAATTATTTGTTTGCTCATAATTATAGTAAAGGTGTGTATGTGTCTGCTTAACAATGCACTTTGACGGTCAATTCAACTGTATTTCAAAACCCGGTACGCGGAAGCGAGCACGCGCGGACTGAGAAGCCACTGTTCATTTCTTCGAGATTTAACAAGATAAACACCTAAAAACAACTGTTCGCTCGGCTTTATAGTAAAGGTGTGTCTTGGTCTAATGTTTGCTTAATAAAAGTACTTAAACGATCAAATCAGCTGTATTTCAAAAGTGTTCGCTACCTTGGTGCTCCCGGGAGCGGGCAGACGGGGAAGAAAAAAGGAATGAGGAACGTTACGCATTTCTTCTAAATTTAACAAGATAAGCACCTAAAACAATTACTTGTTTGCTCGAAATTATAGCAAAGGTGTGTCTCAGTTAACTTTTACTTAATAAATGTGCTTTAATGGTCATGCACGTTGCTGGGGTGGTGCAGCGAAATGAAGCCGATTTTGACAGTTGCTCCATGCACCGAGCAGAACAAAGGTGGGGAGACAATGGCAAGCCAATTGTGTCATTAATAGCTGGTGAAGATTCTCAGTCATCCAGGACATGGTAAATGCAAATAAGTTCAAGACAAAAACAATAAAGTATAATATATAAAGTCTAGTTGTTTTTGTCTTGAACTTTTTTAATTTGTCATTATAGCCACGTTTACTTATTACATGATACAACGGCATGCCTTACTCCTCTGGTACAATCTAGCGGCTGAAAAATGGTAGTGTTCCATTTTTTTCCAGTCAGAATTAATGAAAACGATCATATCTCGGCCAAAAATTGGTTTATAAATATGGGGGGAATAAAAACAAATGCGTCGCTTCGGCTGATAAAGTCGCAGGCATGCAAATTATGCAAAAAACCGTAACTTGTAGGGCAAAAAATGCAGTACTAAAAATCAGTTGATTTTTGTACTTTGTCAGAATTGTCTCAAATGCTACCATTAACAATCACGTTACTACCCTTCTGCATTCCTTTAAGGAAAAACACATTGAAATCCATTAGAAATGCAATTTTTTTTAAACCTCTATAGCTACACTTTAAATTGTGAAATGATTTCACTAGATGGTGCTCTGCTTTTACATTTGAAGGATGCTGTACTACAGTAGTCCCTTGCTGGGACTGGTGGTTCGTTTTTCACAGATTCATTATCGCAGTTTTTCAAAGTAAGAGTGGACATGACACAATGGGCTGATTGAAGGATGAGCTATGGCTTGTTCATCCATCCATCCATCCATCCATCCATCCATCCATCCATCCATCCATCCATCCATCCATTCTCTTCTGCTCGTTTCAAAGTCGGGCCTCGGGGTCAGCAGCTTGAGAAGGGAGACCCAGACTTTTATTTCCACAGCCACCTCTTCTAGTTCTTCTGGCAGGACCAAGGCGTTCCCAGGCCAACCGAGTGGTATAGTCTCTTCAGCGTGTCCTGGGTCTTTCCCGTGGTCTCCTCCCAGTCGGGCATGCCCAAAGCACCTTCTTAGGGAGGCGCCCAAGAAGCATCCTTACCAGATGCCAAAGCCACCTCAACTGGATCTTCTTGATGTGGAGGAGCAGCGGTTCTACTCAGTCTCTCTCAGATAACTGAACTTCTCACCCTATCTGTAAGGGAGAGTCCAGCTACCATGCAGAGGAAACTCATTTCAACCACCTGTATCCACGATCTCATTCTTTTGGTCACTACCCAGAGCTCATGACCATAGGTGAGGGTAGGAACGTAGACTCACCGGTAAACAGAGCTTTGCCTTACAGCTCAGCTTCCTCTTCACCACAACGGACTGGTACAGAGTCCGCAATACTGCAGATGCTGCACTAATCCATCTGCCAATCTCAAGCTTCATTCTTCCCTCACTTGTAAACAAAACCCTGAGATACTTTAACTCCTCCACTTGAAGCAGAACCTCACCCTCGACCCGAAGAGAACAATCCACTTTTTTCCGGTTGAGGACCATGGCCTCAGATTTGGAGGTTCAGATTCTCATCCCAGCCATGATTGGAAGAATTGTTTATTTAAAATAAAGAATTTTAAATTATTTTGCACCTGTGTGCAGCCCACAATTGCAGGGGTAAGCTCCCTCCTGCAGCCAGCCTGTCATGATCTCCTTCTCTGCCACACACATATTTCTCCTGCTGCATCAGCTTTGTGAAGGGTTAACCCTATGCTGTCCAGACGCAATGATCAACTTTTGCCTTCCAACTTAAAATTCAAAGCATGTCACATCGTGAAATTGTCAAATCACAAAATATAAAAGTGTTAAAAGTTATTTCAGAATAACCAAACTTTATTATCATTGCACAATATACAACGAGAACATGTACGTACAGTCGTCCGAAAGATGGGTGGAGTGCACAAACCTGCAACTATAAAAAGCGCGGCCCTCATTATTCTTATTTAGAATAATATTTTGCTTAGATGAGAAAAGGGAAGAAAACATGAGGTGAGACGGTATAAAAAAAAGATGTCCTAGACAGGGCACGATTTGAGGCATTAAAAAAAAAAAAAAACTACCACAGCAAAGCAACATAAACAGACGTAATGCATATACATATAGGCCGGTGAAGACATTGAACTTTAAGGGAAAGTCGTAGCATATTCCAGAGCTCTGGTATATGGGGCGGCTGTGGCTGAGTGGTTAGAGCAGTCGTCCTCTAATGCGAGAGTTGGGGGTTCGAATCTACCAGCAGTTACATGTCGAAGTGTCCATGGGCAAGACACTGAACCCCTCATAGCCTCTGATGTGTGTCCCATCAGTGTATAAATGTGATCTAAAGCACTGATTAGTCTCTTTAGAATGATTTGTTCAATTATCTTTGTAGTGATCTAGTATTAAGCTGTATGAATGGGTAAATGAGGACAGATTGAAGTGTAAAATGCGTTGAGTGTCTTGAAATAAGATAGAAAGGCGCTATATAAGTACAGTCCATTTACCATTTACCATATACAGGTCCTTCTAAAAAAATTAACATATTGTGATAAAGGTCATTATTTTCCATAATGTAATAATAAAAATGAAACTTTCATATATTTCAGATTCATTGCACACCAACTGAAATATTTCAGGTCTTTAATTGTTTTAATACTGATGATTATGGCATACAGCTCATGAAAACCCAAAATGCCTGTCCCAAAAAATTAGCATATCATGAAAAGGTTCTCTAAACAAGCTATTAACCTAACCATCTGAATCAACGACGTAACTCTAAACACCTGCA